TTCACACCTCAGTTGGGACACTTAGCACACATGATGCCCCTGAAGTTTCATTGTGGGCAAATGATATATCTTAGCTCTAGACTACATTTTGTGCGTAGACGCAGGGTTCCCGAAATGCAACCCTCAGCGGCGTGTGCGAAGCACAACTCAAGAATCAGAAGTGGAACGTGAATTTCCGGTATGGTTTCGTAGTCAGATTTTCAGCTACCCGTATTTCTTGACTGAGACGTCAATGGGAGCTGTAATTTGTATGGAAAGGAGATGGTGTTACCCTTAATTCGTATTAGGGAATTTACGCCCACAAACCTTGTAGTTATTAATATTTTGGTTATAATATAAAATTCACACTCACGCTATAGTTAGCATGCATACGTCATAAGCTAGATTACGTCACCTTTTCCTGGTAAGGCAAACTTTCCCGGCGTGCTTTTTTCATGGATAAACAAACACCACTGCTTTGTACATGAATGCCTTGCCTAGCTAGGGCTACAAGAGCCGCATAGTTAGCATATAATACTTAAACAAGGTACGTCTGCAACTGAATTATTCTTAGGCCCTAGTTAATTTTTTCTTATCCTAATTTATTTCTTTCGAAAGTGTACTTTCTATCACATATAATTGCACTGTCTACTTATGCCTAAGCCTAGTCATATTATGCATCGTACCCTGCTATACACAGTCACAGTACATCAGTACCCCCCTCCCACACGCTACAGTGCAGACGTTTTCTAGGCAACAGAACGTGATTGCACCTTTCTTCCCAGGTGTTCATGTAAATTTGCATATTGTTAGCTAACCAGCTGAGTGTATTCCTTTGTGAAAATGAGTACCGCGGCGTACTCATTTTCACAAAGCATTTGCATCCCCTCTTGGAGAGAGGGAACTTCGAAATAATTGTCTCCATATCTTCGCTAATTAATCAAAGTAATTTAGCTTAGACTTATGCATGGAGGGAGCACTTAAAATGTATAATAATCATTTCACTACCCGACAAACCCCGAACTTTATTCATGCATTACATAAATAGTTTCATCTTGCTGTACTCCAACATCACTGGCGCATGGTAACAACCAACTGGCAGCTCAGACCATTTACGGTCACACATTACTCTCCATAATGCAGCATCCCCTCCTAGTTCCGTGCCCTCTGGGTATTGATAGTTTCACTGAGTTTCCAGGAATCTGTTGATTGATTCTATGAAACTGACACCATAGTAAAATCAGACCATTTTTTTAGGACCAAGGTTTCTCTGCTGATTTAGCATCACTAGGGTATAAATAAGAAATTGAGCGGGGGAGAACCTCCAGAAAAAGGGCAGAACATAAAAATTATGATATTGGCTCATACAGTAACTTCACTTATATCCAATGAAAAAGGGCAAATCTGGTGTCTAACTATATGTTATTCGGGTCACTGAAGCCAATGAGACAGGTACGAAAACGTAAAATGGCAGGAATATTGAAATTCATGATGGCTGTCTTAAAAATTGTCAAAATTTAATATTTCAGTATAATTCCACATATCCTCTATGGAAAATGGTAAATTTGGATCAAATCATATGATTTTGGACTCTTTGAATACAATAAACATAGTTTCAAAAAGTTAGGATGGTAATCATTTTGAAATTCAAGATGACCGCCATAAATATCCTCAAAAATCAAATATTTTAGTACAGTATTGAATAAATTCATCTGGTTCCAATTTTAATTTATTAAAATTTTTACTTTTATGTTAAACCAAAAAACGTACAATAGATTACCTGTAACGTTTCATTGGGAGACTGCCAACTTCTTCAGACTGAAGCATGTGCTATAGTGCTCTGGTTTGGTCCAGGTTGCACTGGATTGCGCCACCAACCGCCCTTGATGTTTTAACTGTGGTAGGTCTCCGGGGAGACCCCTCTTGTTTGTACTTTTTCCAGCAACACATCAAATATTTTAGTATGTAATTCCACTTCTCTTTGATGAAAAATGCTAAATTTAGTGTTTAAACATATGTTATTGTTCTCTATGAGTCCAATATACATGGTTTTATATATCTAGGATGGCAGCCATTTTGAAATTCAAGATGGCCGCCATAAAAACCATCGAAAGTTGAGTATTTTGGCTTCAAAATGGCCGCCAAAAAATATGTTTCGCACTATTCCTGGAGGTTCTCCCTCGCTCAATTTATTATTTATACCCTAGTGATGGTAAATCAGCAGAGAAACACTGGTCCCAGAAAAATGGTCTGATTTACAATTTATGGTACCAGTTTCATAGAATCAATCAGCAGATTTCCTGGAAACTCAGTGAAACTATCAATACCCAGAGGTGACGGAACTAGGGGGGTGCTGTGTTATATGGAGAGTAATGTGTGACGGAAGTGGTCTGCAGTCAGTTGGTTCTTACAATACGCCAGTGATGTTGGAGTCACAGTACAGCAAGATGAATCTATTAGGCCCAATGCATGAATAAATTTCGGGGTTTGTCAGGCAGTGAAATGATTATTATACATTTTAAGTGCTCCTTAAATGCATAAGTGTAAGCTAAATTACGGTGATTAATTTAATTAGCGAAGATATGGAGACAATTATTTCAAAGTTCCCTCTTTCCAAGAGGGGATGGTTTGTGAAAATGAGTATGCCGCGGTACTCATTTTCACAAAGAAACACACAACTGGTTAGCTAACGATATGCCAATGTAATTACACCTGGGAAGGAAGGTGCAATCACGTTCCGTTGCCTAGCAAACGTCTGTAATGTATGGTGGGGGGGCTACTGGTGTACTGCGTGGGGGGGGGGGCGATGAGGGGGGGGCGATGAGGCATAACAATAAGACAAGGCCTAGGCCCAGTCCTAACTAGGCAGTGCAATTATATGTGATAGAAAGTACATTTTCGAAAGAAATAAATTAAAATAAGAAAAAAAAGCAAATAACTAAAGAGTTATAATTTAGTTGCAGAGGTACCTAATTGTTTAAGTATTATACAATGCTAACAATGCGGCTCTTGTAGTCTTAGCTAGGCAAGGCATCCATGAAAGCAGTGGTGTTTGTTTATCCATGAAGAAAGCACGCCGGGAAAGTTTGCCTTACCAGGTAAAGGTGACGTAATCTAGCATATGACGTATGCCCGCTAAATGTATTGTGATTGTGACGTCACCAAAAAATGAATATTTTTTATTATAACCAAAATATTAATAACTACAAGGTTTCTGGGCGTAAATTCCCTTAAAACGAATTAAGGGTTGCACAATCTCCTTGCCATACAAATTACAGCTCCCACTGACGTCTCAGTCGAGAAATACGGGTAGCTGATGTTTCTCTCGAAAATCTGACTATGAAACCATATCGCAATTTCACGTTCCACTTTTGACCCTGAGTTGTGCTTCGCACTCGCTGCTGAGGGCGGCGTTCCGGGAACCCTGCGTCTAGGCACAAAATGTAGTCTAGAGCTAATATATATCATTTGCCCACAATGAAACTTTAGGGGCATCATGTGGGCTAAGTGTCCTAACTGAGGTGTGAATTTCCCGAAATCGAGATATATACTTTTGTGATATTTTGGGTCAAAGTTCAAGGTCATGTGACTTGACCTATATAACTCTCACTAGTCCGGACAACATTGAGTTGTTTATCATTGGAAAGAAAATATTCTCCTCTATCCAACGATACCAGAATTTCTTCAATACGTTGAGTTTCAAGAGAGATATAGCAGTTGTCTGTCAGAAGGTGAGTTTTTTAGCCAAATCTCATGAAAATTTCAAATTACTGTAACTCATCAAAAAATTCACTGTGGGGTTATCTCAGGTAGACCCCTAACAGGCAAAATATTGGGCAATTTCAAGGGGGTCGGGCAAAAAAGTGTGTTGGAACCATATAGAATGATGACCCAACTGAATTTTTGTAGAAGAATTATTGAAAACTGGAATTCCATTCCTATTGATGTTAGGAACCTCACAATCTCTACATCATTTACAACTTTTATTGAAACAATAATCTTTATAATAATAAAGTTTCCCTGCTCTCTGCCCTGTATTGAATCCAGTCCTCAATTATTCTTTTTTTCTTTACTTATATTTTGAATTTCTAATATATCTTTTATTTTCTCGTCTTTTACTTTGTTTGCTTTCAGTAGTGCTGTTTATGTCTTTGTCTACTATTTATGTTTGCTTCAGTTTTTCAATGCATATTTATTTATTTATTATGGCCGTAGCATTGTAATTTATTTGTACCTTATATTATTTTCTCTTTTTTCTTTGGTAGTGCTGCTTTTTCGTTAAGCCTTTTTTATTATCCTAGATTTAAACGATTGATAAAGTGAACAATTTATCCTACATTCTACGTTCTCTGTTTTACACTCTCTGGTTTTATGCATTGAACACACTGATTAACTACATTCTAAACTGTGTTTTACGTTCAGTCTACGTTCTAAACAATCTACGATCTATGTCCGACTGTTTTTGTTATGTGTAGTGGACGCGTATTCTACAAACATTACGCGTGGTACGAACGCAGTAATTCACGGCTGTACTTAAACCCATCATTTTTCAATACCTCCAATTTATTCAGTAATATTTATTGGTTCAATTCAACACAATTCATTCAGATGATTTTTAAAAACTGGATTGGATAGGCCCAGGTCCTATTACCATTTTGCTCCAGACAGTTTTACACAAATTTGAGGTGTTCATTGGTAGAGCTGGCTTGAATATTCTTATCTAGAGGCCAATGGCAGGTCTGGTCAATATCCATTTCCATTTGAAAAAAGAAATTGTTATTCTTCCAACTTGCCGTAGCCCATATGCATATGAAGATAGTGAGACTAAAGTTTAAAGTAAGGAAAAGCCTGCTCCACTAATCAAAACCTTGGATTTGCCACGTAAGATCATTAACCAAAAAGTCTGAGGCCCCTGGCATCTTTGGGGCCATACTGTACTTAGCAGCTCACAGCTGTTACTCCACTGGGCTACAGTCTGCTAATGTACTAATATTTTGTTTTTCTTTGTGTAAATACTGTAGGCTATTGCAGATGTTATCCGAACATGTCTTGGACCAAGATCTATGATGAAGGTCAGTCTTATTCATTAATATGTAAAATTTAGAAGCTGTTGTATAGTAAAAGTTGAAACTGCACAGTGTGATCTGATCTTGCACAATTTAAAAACCTCACTCCTGTACCAACACTTCATTATTCCATTGTTCCACACAATCATCAATCAAATTGTAAAATAGGCAGAATTTATGTCTGGTAAGGAGCCGTCCAAGAAGTTAAAAACCGTGCCTACCGCGGTTTCCCTTTTTTTACTACCACGGCTACTGCAAGTTGGTTAGTAAGGCGGATCAGTGAAGCATAAGATTGCTACCGCGGTAGATCAAGAATATTTATTAGCTGTCTGAACAGTCTACCAAAATCGGCCGTTGTAGCATAACGCAGGTACCGCGATGCAATGGATTCATGAGTTCGTACGTAGGCCTACATGTAGTAACATATCCTTGGTGTGGGAAACTTTAAGGCAAATTCACACAGCACGAACTCCTGGCTGTGGACTAGCACTGGCAGCTAGCCAAATTAACTACTTGTATTTGTGTTCTACTGTATTGGAGTTTCAGTGATTCTGACTACAGTACTTTTGTTTTACCTCTACTGTCGATGAACTCAAACAGCATCAACAACGTTTATTTTTAAAATTTCATATTCTGATACCCAAGTTTAGTTTTTATATTATTAGTCCTACTTTGTGATGTGTAATTTTTTATTTTTTTTTATTTTTAGTGATTAAACTTACTATCCTTAGCCCACAAGAAATTCGACATAGACCTATTCTGTCCCAATGGGATTTTTCCCGTAATTTCGGAATGGCCTGTATTTTTTTTTGCAGTTATTAAAATGACTACCATTTAATTATTTACAATGGATAAAAAGGTTTCCATAGATCTCTCTACGGTTACACCCATTGCTTAACGGTGGATTAAAAGCTTCAATAAATGAATTATATTACAGTATTAAGCCTATTTGGTGATATGTAATTTTTTTTTTTCTTTTCTTTATGATTATAAACTTACTTCTATCCCTACCTCACAAGAAATTTGACATGGCCTATCCCGTCCCAATGGGATTTTCCCCAATTTCAGCATGGCCTGTAATATTGTTTTCGCACTATTTAATTATTTACAATGGATAAAAAAAGTTTTCATAGATCTCTCTACGGACACTCATTAGCCTGGTTCACGTCGAAATCTTATTTGGATATAGATCCACTTAACTAGTTAAAAGTTCGACGTGAACCACTCAATTATAGCTAGATAAAGGAATTAAGTCACTTAAGTTAAGTGACTTAACTTTACTAGAATAACGGTAAATTAACTTGCTTAACGGTAAAGTCGGCTCGGATAACAAGGACACGATTACGTAATGTAGGCATCTAAGCCAGCGTTGTTGTATTGTACCACCATTATCATCTTCTGGCTGGCAATAACGTACTCCAACAATGCTAACAACAGCATCGAAATAGTCTCGTTAGTCTGGTTTTCAGAAATTATTTATAATATTATGGGTAAAAACCCAGCAAACATCCGTTTTACGAATAGTCGATAGTACCAATGACCTTTGCCCTTTGCATCATCGACCAAGTAATAACGTTAAAAAGTCCGATTGCGTACGTTTTTCAAAGTGATAATGTATATTTTTCTTAATAATAAAATCAGATTTGTTGTATTTATTTATTGACAATTCGATCTTTTCCATTTCTGCTATAATAGTCGCTATTAATTCAGTTTCAATGAACTACCACCAACGCCAGTCGTTAAAATGAGCGCACATGTTTACGATGACAAAATAAAAAAGTGTGTGGAAGTCAGCAACTTATTTGACACCGCGAAGCTAAATTTTCGCGAAGTGCATGTAAACAACAATTGAGCGATCTAAAAACTACAAAACAGGACAGAAAGGTCCATAAAGTATACAGACGTTTTAATGAAAATTAAAACAATATTTTGTTAAATGGAAGAATGCTAGCTAGCGATTAAAATAATTCGTTTTTTATCGAAGGTCAATTTAGCTAGGGCCTAGAGGAGAATCTACTACTTCGATTGCGATAGAACACGCTGCTGCACTGTTGTTGGTTCGTACTGGTCGGCTAGGTTAGGTAGTGGAAACTCACACCTTCTCTACAGTAGTTTACAATTTTTTTGAACGAATACCACTTGGTACTAGAGGTTCGTAAAATACAGTAGATGTTTTATTAAATAAGCCTTTCCACCGCGTGACGTCGACGGCCTGAAACTGGCTGGCTGTTTATCTGGCTCTAACTTGGCATCGAACGCAATTAGGGGATTATCGTATCATGTTTCAAGACGGGTATATCTAGATAAAGTTCGACGTGAACCAGGCTCTAGTTTAACAGTGGATTAAAAGCTTCAAGAAATATACCCGTATTGTTTAATTAGCTGAATTAGTTCACCCCTGAATAGGTCTATATATCTTACCTTATTCATTATACAGTATCATAATTTTATCTATAAATAAAGTGGGCACCAAAATGTTAAAATTAGTGTTGCATATATTTTGGTTTACTACACCTCAGATGCTACACATAAAATTAATCTTACAAATTGAGCGTACTATCAAAGAATATACAGTAGATTAAGGACTTATAACTGTTATAAGTCCTTGAGTAGATAGAAGTGTACAACGCTGTAGTGTAGTTGGACTAAGGACTAGAAATTTTCCCACGATTAATTACATTTAGCAGTCTATATTTAGCAGCTGACATTCTTCCAGGCAGTCAAAGTACGCACGCTGAATCAAAAACTACTGATTAGGGTTATCACGTGAACACCATCCCTGGCCAGTGACAATACAGAGGCACTATCCCCTCTCACATTCCTCGTGAAGCAAAGTATGAAGAACAGGGACTGTTAACAAGATTTAATACGTACCCGTTTTTTCAGGGGAAAAAGTTATGTTCATAGGGGATGTTTGTTAATTGTTTAAAATATAACTAATAATAACTATATAAAAACTAAAATATTTGTATGACAGGCATGAGCGAACCCACTTGCCCGACGCCCGGGACAAGTGTTTTTTACGGTCAGACAACAAGAATTTTAGGGACCACTTGTCCGTGGACAAGCACTTTTAGAATAAACTACTTCACCATGTGATGCGTAATGATTTCACAGTACTTTATGTAAAATAGTAAAGTCTGACTCTTGACAATATGCAGCGTATAAATACCATACATATTTAAAGACTTTGGGCGCACAGCCATTAGTTGATTAGTTGAGGTGGATGACATGAAATGTCTGGACTTCAAGACTAGTAATTACTTTGCGTACGAATATGAATAGTAGCCACTAGGCCGATTTCAAAAAAGGCCTAGTCTATTAATTTGTTTGCCCGTGTGGGGAAGGCAATCTAGACAGACTAAGAAAGAATAGTTAAATTGGAATTTAAAGTTGTTAAAGTAATTAAAAAATCATTCCCTTCTAAGTGATGGAGATAATGTGCATATAAAATCCAAATCTTGTAAAACTGGAGTTAAAAATTGAGGGTTTAGGGCCTATTTATAAATGAATCATTTTCCCATCTCAAAAATTTCGCCGTCTCGGAGATTCTCATTCAGGAATGGATTTCGTCCCCTCGGCCCATCCTCAGAGTTATATTACAGTAGGCCTACATTAAGAGGCCTAGATCAAAAATTGTTCATTTCTGAGCGTTTCTCATGGGTCCTTTTTAAACAACATACTAAAATTTAACAAAATCCGAGAGATCATGTAATTGCAGAATAAAACAATTTCTCAGTCCATCATTTTTAAGGAGCGCGAGAGCGATCGCGCTCCTCCGGGCTCCTGAACACGCTTTCAGGAGAGCAACTAACCGCACTCCTTGATTTACCAGGCAACTAAAACAAAAATTAATGACAAAAATTGTATTTTGAAATTTTGTCCATAATCAAAATCTATCGAATTTTGCAACTAAAGCTACAATATATTCCAGTGTATAAAGCCGCAAATTTTATACACGATTTCCACCACGAAATTCAGGGTGCAGCCTGTACACTGATCATCAACCTCCTAAAAAATTCTAGATCGGGAACCGCGGAGGCGAAAATAGTCAGGTTAGGCCCAGGCTATCCAATTTAATTAGCCTAGGTTTGCTGGTCTAGTATTATAATTATACTCGCTACAGTGCGACAAGGATTCCTATGACATTCAAGCAATGGTTTGGGTTGCCTAAAATAAATATTTTCACTTTACGTACATTCATAAACAATGTTTGAAACACATTGTACGTGTTTGAACTCACTTCGCTAAAAACAATAATAATCACTTTTTTCCTCGAAGTCACGTGAGTAGCTTCACGAACATCGTTGCAAAACGCACATGGTTGTAAACTTGCTGCACGGCGTCTTGTTGCTTGGAGGCTAGTAATGTTATAGAAAGAATGATACTGCTATGCTGTGTTCACTGTCATAATTTCAGAATGAAACTTGTGTACCGGTAAATAATGTATTCTATAAAACATGAGTTTTCTTGACGTTAATACTTGCTTTTACTGTAATTTAAAAGTAGAATGGCATACTGTACGTTATCTGCCCGTGCGTGAACTTTGTATCACATGGTTCTGGGTTCTGTTGTGCGTGATCGGTGTTGTTGCGTGATTCGCTAGAGTAGCAGGTTGCGAGTACTGAGTAGTAATAATGGCTAGTTAAGCCTAGAATATTTTTATTTTTTATTATTGATTGAATAATAGATAAATAAATATGTTCACTATATTCTAGTATATTAATTTAATATTTAAATTTGAATAAACTAAAATGATTGTTTAAACCCACACAGTCAGAAATTTAACGCAGAAAATATACAGACGTCTACTTAAAAAAATGGGGATTTCCCTACAGTAGGTAATACGTTGTTTTGATGAGAGTTTTCCTGGAGGACAAGTATTTCCACTTGTTTGTTGTTTAATATTTTAATGTTTGCAAATTAATGTCAATATTTCAAAATAGATAAAAACTTATCATTTTGGAGATTAAAATAGGTGTGGTTATACACAGGTGACGCCAAAAAAACGCGATATTTCGCGTCCTCCAGGTGTTACTTCGAGAGGGGTTTATTCCAAATGAGGTTCTGAAGTGAGAGTTTATTTGAGTGGGAGGATTTGCAGGGGGATGGGGTTAGGCTGCTTTCCCCCCCTCGATTATTGATCGTCTAAAATACCTCAGAAGTTATTTCCAGGCGTCTAGAAAAAAAAATTTCCTTGGGGCATGCCGGATCCCCCTAGGGTGGTGTTGGCTCTCAATCGTGCCCGCCCACTTCAGACACCTGAATCCACCCCTGGGGGAGGAGGGCGTCTATTCAAAGCTGTGAAATTTTCAAGGAGAGCAATTCTCTCCTTAGTAATTCGAGGAGAGCAATTTAGTGCTCTCCTGCGTTTTACATACTGTATGTGATGGACTGAGTTCTTTCAAATGTTATTTTTATTTACAAACATTTAAAATATATAGTAAGTTTTTATCATCAAACTTGTGTCACATCGTAAAATTTCACGAACATTTTGGAGTGTGGCAACTCAAAATGGGCTTCATTGGGATACCTACTAAAAAGTGCATAGATCAATCAGCAAAAACTGATTTCATTGCTTGGAAGTTAAATTTTTTTGTTTTTATTTTATTAATTAAGTGCTTTAATTGTCTTGTTCTCATAGAAGATCAGACCATTTGCATTGATGCTGTACAATCTATGCATTTTAGTACTCTCCATCCTTCACTCTTCTCCATACAAAGCAAAAACAGATATTCACTTCAAACAGGACAGCAGTTGTAGTTTTGACAGGGAACATGTGGTAAAAAATTATAAATGAATTATTAATGCTAAAATGGTTTCACCATTCATTGGTTCACGGGTATGCAGACACAAGCTGTCACTTCCAGTTTACTTACTCGAGGTATTTTTCCAACTCTAGTGTTCTTTAAAATCCATTTAGTCAAATAATTAAATCGTTGGACATTCTTATTTTAAAGTTTCACACTGTATTCAGTTCATACTTTTTCATTGAAAGACAGATTGAATCCAGTAAGAATTTGCTGAGACGTACAAACGTTTTACTATCATAATCCTTATTTATTATTAGCAAATTTGAGGGTCCATGCAAAAGAAAAAGAAATTGTATTTATACATCTGTAGTGTTAATAGACATAATATGGGAGGGGGCGTCCTCCTCCCTACCTAAGAAAAAAAAAGAAAAAATTATTACTGAAAAATGCCATTTAACAGTGTTTGAATTGCCATTTAACAATACGATTTCGGTTTTCCAGAAAGATCAGTTTGTGGAACATTTCTATTGAATCATTTCCGTATAAGGTAGGCCAGTTAGGGCCTAGCTTAGGCCTAGACGCTAAAATAGGCTTAGCATACCTGTAGCCCAGTGAATTCGGTTCATGACTAGCCTACGAAAAGTTTTATTTAACATATATTACGTACAGTACCTGTTTTTTAGCTGTAGTGCACAGCAAATTGAATTACTGTACCAATAAAATGAATGCTTTTATATTGTTTTTACGTGCATTTTCGGTCTGTCATTTTGTAAACACAACACAGTCTTCGTGGTCGCGAGGCAACTTGTTGTAAATATCAGGTCACGCCTCCTAAATTCTGCCTGCTAATTGGTTAATTTATTTCATGGGGTCATGTGGCTGGGCAAACATCCCATGTGCTTGGCTGTGATGACGTCAGATCGCCCAAAGTTTCGTAGTGCGTGAGAGCTTGCTGACTGACAGGAACAAGCTTAGTGTAAACTGATAAATTTTTAATTAAACAGATTTATTAAAACAAATAAGAAATCCTTGTGGTTTTGTTTTAGAGTCGAATCTAAATCTAACAAATTTAAATTTCATTCTGTGCAAATTTCTTCCGTAATTAGCAATGTTTTTAAGGAATGTGAGTGAAGCAATGCATTTGTAATCTACTGTACATGTACTGTAGACTCAGTGCTGGAAATTAACTTTTTTTTCTTGGTAGCACTGCCAAATTTATATGGCATTCCAGCAAAACATTTAGTAGCACCAATATATTTTTCAGTAGCACATATTTACCCCCCACTCCATGTACATGCCTTTAAAATATTCTGCTCCATCCACCACCACTGCATACACCAGCCCTCAAAATTTGCGCCCGGCATTCGGCAATGCCGATGTAAACAGCGGTGTCTGGCTGCCCAATGCCGATGAAAAGATCGCCAAAAAACCAAGAAAAAATGTTAATTTCCAGCACTTATAGGCCAATTCTTTCTCCAAGAAGGACTATATGATCTACAGTATTTTTTAAAAGTTAAAAAGTTCAAAATTTAGAAATTGTATTTTTCTCAAATATAATTGGTGGCCAACAAAGGGAAATCTTCCTTGCACAAGTGTTATTATTAGCTAACATAAAAAATACTTACCGCTTATTTCTTGGCCAATTTCTGTCCATGAGGCTATGCTTTGTGTCCAATCAAATCAGCATCTATGATTTGTGACAACCATTTCTAAATTTTGAAAAATAGCTACACTTCAGGTCTTAGACTTCAATTAGGTCTAAAAAAAATTGTTTGCTGTCAGGTCATAAAAATTTGAGTGGAGCCTAGGCTAGGCCTACTATCTAGTAGACGAGTTTTGATGGAAATTTGTTTTGTTTCACTTATCCGATTTCACGACCGTAAAGCTATCAAAATGACATTAATATATCTTTAGCCTACTCATATTCTCATTTAGAACATCGTTGTAAATCATACCATACATTACGAATTTGGAATACATTTTTTGTTACAAAAAAATAATGCAAATAGAAATCTTTTCCATGCGGCACGGATTTTGTGTCAAGATCGATTTTTTTATTTTTTAGAGGCCGCGGATGATAGCAACAAATTTGTTTTTAGGCCTTATTTAATTGTAGTGTATTTTTCTAAATATTTTTAAAAATTTAAAGTATTTATAGATTATTGTTGCAGTTGACTTAATTTTTTTTATTTGTAGATGTTAATGGATCCAATGGGTGGTATAGTGATGACCAATGATGGCAATGCTATTTTAAGAGAGGTAAGACACTCAAACAAATTTGTAAGAAATCCACAATTATTCGAAAAAAGAATCTGGTGTCAGTACCAAGAAATCATCTTTACATTGCAATTTTCTTTTAGATAACGGTACAACATCCAGCTGCAAAGTCTATGATTGAAATCAGTCGAACACAGGATGAGGAGGTTGGCGATGGTACCACCTCCGTCATTATCCTAGGTATGCTATTTGTTGTCTTCAATCATTCATGTCATCATCATTGTGATGTCATTGTCATTATCGCCATTGTCATCACCTCCACTATCGTCATCATCACCACCACTACCACCACCGCCACCATAGTTTTCATCTTCATTTCTATCATCTCCATGTTGTTGTCGTCGTTGTGGTTGTTGGGTAAATTGATTGTTACCACGATATCTAAAATTTTGTAAGTCCGAATGATTTCAAACTTGGCAGATTGCAAGATGGGAATATGAAGACAGAGCCTATTGTTTTTGGTACATGCGTAAATGTGCTAATTGCTCATTTGCATAATTGATATTTCACTAATCAGGAAATTTACAATAAATACCATCATATTTCCCATTAAAAAAAATCCTATGTTGTTGAAACTATAATATGTCATGCTTTTACATTGTAGAAAACAGTGATTCAATTTAATGTTGAAATGAAACTTTACTTCGTATTTTTTAAAATAATAAACTATTTAATAATAATTATCAGATTTAAAGCAATTTGCTTTGCAGAAAGCGTTTTAAACTAGTCAAATGACGGCTGACCACCACTTGGTCATTTATTGTTCACCCTTATCACTGTTTATTTATACATATACCATTAATCCTTTATAGTATGCCAACTTGCTTTTGACTTTTAGTGTTTCTTAAGTCAACATATATTTAAGTTTCATTACTGTTATTCTATATTATATTTATATAATATCTCTTATTTACTTGGCGTCAATTCCAAACAAGATCAAAGGCGCAACGCATGTGAAAAGCCACCGGAAAACAAATAGGTCTTAAGCTGTGAATTAAAGTTGCAAATAGAGTTGGAAGTTGGTCCCAAAAATATGCAGAAGCAAAAGTAAAAAACATTGACCATAGATTCTGGTACGGTATTATATATAGTACGGTATATATGTATTTTTTGCTCGATATATCAATGATGTGTTTTTTATCTGGCCTCATGGAGAAGATTCTCTTAAATATTTTATATCCGGTTTTAATAATGCCCACAACATTATTAACTTGACATCTGAACAATCTATCAGTCAATTTCCATTCCTTGACTCTCTGATTTGTATATCTGATCACCAGATCACTACTACTTTGTACACTGAACCAACAGACAATCGCAAGTATCTAGACTTTAATAGCGCTCACCCAACTAGCATCAAACAATCTATTGTATATAGCCAAGCACTGTGTATCAAACGATGCTCTACTGACACAGAATATAATAAACACATCAACACTCTCATATGCAAGTTCAGCCAGAGTAACTACCCTTTACAGTATCTTTCATCAAACGCAATATTGAGAAAGCATCATCCAAATCACGACTCAGCCTTCTCGAATACAAAGCCAAGTCTAAAACCACACGGATCCCAGTAATATTGGACTACAGTCCCCGCATTTATCAGATTTCCCAAAGCTATAAATGAGGAATTTCATACATTGAAACACCATTTACCCGAAAACAAGTTTTTCGAACATCCCCCCGTTCTCACTAAATGTCAGCCGCCAAACTTAAAATCCATCCTGACCTCCTCACAACTCCCCATTATCCCACGCTTATTTGGTAACCGCCCCTGCCTCAACTCACGCTGTCAAATCTGTCAAATCCTTTTACAAGCAAATCCATCACCATCCCCACTCTAACATAACAATCCATCCACCATCTGTCACATGTAATTCCACTAATGTTATACACATATTGTATGTTCCAAGTGTGATCATGGTTGCTATGTCGGGCAGACAGGGAGTAAATTAAGACTTCGGTGTAATAACCATAAGAAATCCATTAGGGATAATGCAGTTGGTTTTCCTGTTGCACAGCATTTTAATTTGCCTAACCATTCCATTGATGACATTAAATCTTGTAGATGAAATGGTTAATTGTCAAAGGACATTATTTTCCCTCTTCAATTTCTATATTGAAAGTTAATTGCTGGCTTAACTATACAAAATGTATGATGTAAATATGGGATTGTTTTAAAGTTAATTATATTAATCTGTATATATCTTAAATCTCAAGGTCACCATATCAAACCCTGGATGCTCTGCTAATGTAGAATAAATAATTCCATGTCACTCATCCAATCTTACTAATACCAATAAATGTATTATATTACATATCTTTGTGTATAAGACAAATATTTACCTTTTATATTCCTTTAGCTGGGGAGATGATGGCAGTGGCTGAACCATTCTTAACTCAAAACATGCACCCAACTCTAATCATAGATGCCTACAAACATGCTATGGAGGATATGCTCAAAATAATGAAAGATCAGGCGTAAGTCCTCCCCGTTGTATGTAAATGCACTGTGAAAATGTATTTACATTTACAAAAACGTTGGAATGTGTTTCATCATTATATTTAATTTAATCTTTAAATATTGTTAACTATAAATGAACTAAATTTCAGTGATATAATGTAATAATTCATCTCTGCTAACTACCTTGAGAAAAGTAGATCCGATAGTATAATACATACTCCATTCCTGATGATGACATAAATAAATGTTGAAATATTGAATCCCGACACGATGGCGTGCATTTCGATTCTTGGAGTATGTATACTACTATCTTATCTCAGTGGACCTTTTGGTTTTTGGAAAAGTAGATAAGTTTCAGTCTTCACTTCTGTTTTTTGCTTATTTAAGGAATCCTATGAATTTCCTGGCTTTATAATCAGTATATTTGACATACCTATTGATTTTGTAGTAAGCAGATTGATGTCTCCAATGATGAAGAGATGCTTAAAATAATACAGAGTGCTGTAGGAACCAAATTTGTAAACAAATGGTAAGTTTTATAATGGTACATTATTTATGTCTCTATAATAATGACAGATTATTCTTAAGCCCTGACCAGACTATCTAATATTATTGAACAAAAAGTGACATGCCTAAATATGGTAATGGTGACATCACATCATGCCCATATGGTAAGGAGTTGTTCACAATTATCAACATATTCACAAGTGTACAAACAGTATGCTAGGGGGAGAGGGTAGAAATTTGTACACTTTTACATATGCATGGGAATGTTGATTCAAAATAATTCATTATTTAAAATAATATATTTTTATGACCAATTATAATGCAACCATCGATATAATATACATTTTAAGTAACTAAGTACAGTACTTTAGTTGACTTCACAAAAAAAATGGAAAATGGTTTGCAAAATCAACGTTTTTGTATGTAGGGGCCTACACTTTCCAATGGGAGGGAGGGGGTACCAAAAAGGAGTACTGTTTGTACACTTATGAAAATTTTGATAATTGTTTACTTGTTCTCGTTTTACAAAGTGACAGTAAAAAAAAATCTTGTAACTTGAAAATCGACAAAAAAATAACCCCGACTTTAAATTTAAAAAATTTTTTTTTTTTATTCTTTGTCATTAGAAGTCAATTGTTTTGTGCTATTAACTAATTCAATCTTTCAATGAAATTTTCCAGATCTTATAACAGGCAGTTAAAATGAGCTGTTTAAGGTTTTTACAGATTTCATGATAGGTATATTTTTTAAGTCACTAAGAATAAAATTAATAGTAGGGTTTGCTGATATTTTTTCTCACAAAAAATAAGGTTTTTCTAATACAGTAGAACCTTGTTGATACATACCTCAGTTACGAACCCTCAGTTTTATGTATGCCTCATACCAACGATGACGTCATCAAAACCCCCCAAAGTACTTGAAACAAACGGCCCTTTCAGGGACACCATAAATGTAAAAAGCGATTTGTTAGTTTCTGTATGTTTATTACTCCAATACTGTAACAAACAGTTAGTGTGAAAGATACATACTCTGGCTGCTATCCGCTAAATGTGTGGACGACACACATATCTCGCTCACTACATGTAAGTGAAAAACGCGTAGGGAAATTTTCAATTTCTAGTAGGATCTTCGTATATTTTTTCACATTTTATATAAATCAGGGCTAGAAATTTACTTTTTCAGCCACTAGCAACCTATTGCTAAAATGTGCTAGTTGTTAAAAATGTAACTAGCAAAATGAGCTTCTCAACTAGTAAAATATATTGATACCAACTCAACATATTATTTTCGGAAAATAATTTGTATGAAAATAACTAATAATGTACTTCTATAAATTTGTGTGTTAAATGTTTTAATATAATATTTTCTGTTATGGTAAGTGTAGTACAATAAATATCGCAAAGAAATAGCCAAGTGAGTATAAAAAATCAATTTCTATACCTTGTACATTTATTCACTTCAGTGTCAGAAAATTTTTAATATGAAGAAAAAAAATCATCAT